CTCCCCCCCCCCCCCCCCCCCCCCCCCCCCCCCACTGCCAGATTCTACTATGTTGAGGTCGTTCCTCAGTAGAGAATGACAGAAAACTCGTAAAAATCAAAAGGGAGTTTTGGGTACAGGTAATGGAGCTGCCAGTAATATATTTTGACTTCTCTTATAGATAGTGCTTTAGAGCGATTGGCATGTTCATCCCCGAACCTATTTTATAAATTATGACATGGTATAGTACCCATGCTATTAGAGAGGTAAGATCCTGTTGTGATAATGAAATAATTGAAGAATCAAATTCTGATTTTGTAGAAAAGCACCTAATCCCATTTTAAAATTTATTTCTTTCCTTTATTTCCTCCCATGTCTTCCTTTCTGTAATAGAGAGTTCATAGAGACACCCACTGGTGATTTCTGAACTTGACACTTCCAGAGGACCCTCTGTCAGAGATCTTTGGAAGTCAATTTTCGTTCTTGCTCAGAATTTAAGTTGAAATGATTATTGTGATTATTTCTAGTATTGGTTATTTGCCTACCACCACTTTACCTCTTTGTAAAATAAGTTAGGCAAAGATTGCCTTCCATCAATTTTTAAATTGGAGATCTCAAAAGAAAATTCTGTAAGTGGTAAGGTAGCTGTATTGTACATCTTTGTCAGCATCAGATGATTAGAGGTGAAATAAAACTAACATATAAATACTTTTTCTTCCTGTTGTTCATAACATTTCTGTGGGTTTGTTACCCCGGTGCCCTAGATTGAAGTAAATAAATGAACTCTGCTTGTTTCATTTTCAGTGTTTCATTTGTCACCAGAAGTTGCACAGTTGAAATACTACATCGCTGTCACCCAAGGGTAGACAAATGGATGTGTAGTTGTTAGGGTTTATACTCTGTATAATTTGGGTTCTTTCTTCCTGACAGAGAGGAGGCACTGAAGGTTTATTAAATGAAATGAAAATTAAACAGTCACTAAATACCATATTTTTATGGAGAACAACTTTTATAATTGTTAATCTGTGAAGCTGTTTGCTTTAAATTGAAGAAAACAAAATTGCTCTTTGCATTAAATTATATAATCTTTTAATTATGCTGTATCTTATCACAAGTTCATTCACCAGAGTTGCATCATTTCTGTAAGAAATTTTGCAGCTTTCAATTTCAAACCAACACTCACATTTTCTGTGAAGAATTTCTTTGTATAATTGTGATGTACACTCTGTATGAACTATCGAGATTCTTTAAAAATATCTCTCAGTAATTTTTTAAAAAGTGGTTACCATCCCTGCCTTAAAGGAATTTACAGCCTAGGTAGGGAAACAAGAGATAGATAGACACACACACACACACAAATGCATACACATATATTCACGTAGTTAAATAAGTAGGACTTGATTTTACCAATGGAATGGTGATGATAATCGTGTGTGTGTTACATATGAATTGGTCCATAAATTAGTCTTATTAGCCAATAGTAAAGAATCATTGCTTTATATGTGTACAGTCTGCTTGCACAGAGCCATGTATCCATACAAAAAGGTTGAGGGACACATGGGAATGTAGGTCTTCTGAAGTGTGCTGTACTGAACGCCTTGTCTTTTCATATCCTCCCCACCCCTCGTGATTTTTAGATCTGCCTCTCCAAAGCATGGGTTCACCATTATGAATAGGCTGAGCATGGAAAATAGGACAGAACCCATTACTAAAGACCTGGATTTCCAGCTCCAGGACCCTTTCCTTCTCTACAGAAATGCCAGATGTGAGTCTTTCTGAATTCATTGGGTAGTTTTATTTCTCTAGTTTGGCCAAGTATTTAAAATTGTACAGTTGTACAGTGTGTTTGTGTTTAGTGTCAGTGACTTAGGGGTCAGCACTGGTTAGCTTGGGAAGTGCATGCCTAGTTGAGGGAACAGCTTCTTCCTTGGGAAGGTTTAAATGAAAACAATGTGAATATGATGACGTAAATATTTAAACCCTGTTTTCTGCAGCTAGACCGCTCTGCATTGTGAACCCATCAGAGATTTTAAGCCTGAGCAGGGCTGGGGGAGGAATTCTTGGTCAGGAGACCACAGAAGGACAATAGATGGTGCTGTAGAACATAGAATTAATGATTCATCTAGTGGCACTTTCCTTGTGTATCACTTCTGACTGAGTCTCCTTGATAATATGTTTGACAGAAGGGGCCCGTATTCCAGAAGTGCCATCCTTTGCATAACAAATGAAAAATCAAAGTCCAAAGAGTTTTGTTCATTAAGAATTTCATAACACTCTGTAATGTTGAAGTTGTATTAGGTGGCTAACTGGTCCTTGTCAAATTTGAAATGAGGTAGCAATCACCTATCTAATATTTCTGTCTCCATTTTGCTCTTGTGTCTTATCTGACCACTTGTGTTGGACTATTGGGGAGCCTAGAGAAAAAGGGATGGAAAATATATAAACTGCGGGAGCATCTCCACACAGAGAAACAGAGAGCACAGTAATAAGTATATAAACGTGTGTACACGCACATGCTCTGTGCTTTGTGGATGACATTTGAAAAGACCTTGCAGTTAAGAAATATTTTCCATACATTTCCCACCCTGCTCTTTGAGCTCAAGATACAAGAATTTGCCTACGGTATACTATTCAGTGTAATCTTAATAATGAATGTAATACAAGCAATATTTAATGTTTAACTCCAGTGAATTGCATTAAAATGATGCTATATTTACTTATAATTATATTCACATATAATTAATTGTCGTGATAGGTGGTCATTCCTATTATTTAGAGAATACAGTTAAATTTTTATGAGAAAAAAATGAAAGCTCATAAAACTGTAACATGACTTACTAATGGTAGATCCTGTGAAGTGAAAAATTTAGTAATTAGAGAAATACTTTGTTTTCTATTCCTATTTCTTTGCTGGAAGGTGTAATTTAACCTAATTGTAGCTTGTAGTTTGAATTGTTTGTGCGCTTACGGTAATAGCAGGTTTTCTTTTCTTTTTTGAGGTTATTAGATTCTATGTCAAATTAATATATAATTCAAATCCTAATAAAATAACCACAAAAATAAATATAAAATAAATGAATGTTAGTGACTTATAATAATCACTTTTGGTTGCTCTTGTTTTGGTAAATGCTTGGTCTAATCAGTATAGATATATTTTAAGTGCTTATTACAGTAGTACATATTAGATTTTAAATCACATAGTACTATACCAAAAATATAAAAATACAAACTCTCTTTAATGTGGTTGATTTTAAAAATAACTTTCCTAAGTCCCGCAGGGTTTATGTGATAGGAAATACTATTTGGATCTAATGGACATGTGAAGCCTCACCTTGCTTCTAGGCCTGTGCTGTCTTACAATATGGCAGTCACTAGCTGCATGTGGCTGTGGAGTACTTGAAATGTGGCTAGTCTGAATTGAGCTGTGCTATGAGTGTAAAATACACACTGATTTTCAAAGACTTAGTACAAAACAAGGGATGTAAAAAAAAAAAATCTCAATAATTTTCTATTTGTTCTACCTGTTAATACTTTGAATGAGTTAAATAAAATATATTATTAAAATTAATTTCACCTGCTTTTTTATTTTTTGATGTAAAATTACATATGTGGCTCTCATTTGTGGTTCACCTTATATTTCTACTGAATGGCGCTGTTCTAGGCATTTTCATTTATTTTACCATAGTTTATAATCACAACTTAAGCAGACATTTTCCCTGCCATTTAGCAGATGAGAAAACTAAGACTCAGTGAGGTGACAGATCTGACAGAAACTCATAAATTCTGATTTCAGTTCCATTGCTTTTTCTGCACCACCTGTACTGCTCTCTCCACTATTAAACATGAGTGCAAATTGAAGGCAGCCTTTGGCATGCATATTAAAGTGTTTCTAATGAATTTCTATAAGAAAGAAAAATGAAATCGGTTGAACAACAAAGAACGGAAGAGAAGGGATCTATTTACCCTTCTGGGTTTGTTTTGCTTTTGTTTTTCTCCTTAATATCTGGTACTGATTGCCTTTGCAGCCATAGTCATTTGGTTTTAGTTTAGTTTATTCCTAAAAGCCTTTTCAATCTCTGTCATCAAAAGTTCACAGCAGGGCTTACCCCAGGTGCTTTCAGGATCTCAGGTACCTCTCAAGTGTTGTTAAATAATTTAAATACTTTATATCCTAATTGCATATGGTTTGCATATTCTCTAAGGAAAATAGTATGTAAATGAATATAGATTCACTCATCATCCTTTGGACAATGAACCCAGGTTCACTCAGGACTTGTTTTTAAGACTCTGTACCCCTCAAGATCTGTATAGTCAAGATCTTTGGCCTCTGTGTGCCATAGACCATATTTAGACATTGCAAGAGGTAGAGTTGATAGATGTTTGTGGTGTTTTCTCATGGAGTTTTTTTTAGATTCAGTAGGTTAAAAAAATTAGTATACCTAAGGAGATAACTATCCCTCTCTTGAATTGGATGAATTTAGAAGAGTAAAATAAAGAAGTGAAAGTCTCAAACTCTCTTCATTTAATTATAATAATAAAAACAGATGTTTAATAAATAAGTAACTTTGAATTTTGACCAAACACAAAATATATAGTTTTATTACAATAAAGGATTTAATAGTTTTTGAAGTTTGTTATAGTAGGATTTGACCTATATGAGCTTTAAAAGTAAATAAGATGGCTGTTAAAGTTAGGACGAAAAATTCATTTATCCAACAAACATTTATTGAACATTTGCTGTCTACCAGCACTATGTTAAGGCTTTATATAGGTTATTCTCACAACTTTTCTTGGAAATGCTGTTATTCCTGTTTCTGAGGAGACTGAGGTTAAAGGGATTAAGTAATTTACCACGGTCCAGGACTGTTTTGAGACGGAGACAGCATTTGAACTGAGAAAGCCTGCTTTAAAAGCCCACGCTCAAGCAGTGAAAGTGCTAACATGTGTATGATGCATTTGAGTAAGATTTACCTTTTAAGAAGTACTTAATCTTTTTAGTGTATACTCTAAAGTTTAAAAAGCAAGTTTTTTTTTTTTTTAAAGTTGGGAACCTATTGTGTTGCAGTTATATCAAATAAAAACGAATGTAATGAAAAGCTGAATTTGACTGTTTCTTTTATATTATTCCCCTTTAGTAACCATTTGCTGTGTTTTTCATTTCACAAGTAAGATTTTGATGTATGGAGGTATATTTTAGAAATGTATTTTCCCAAAGATATCATAATATTTAAGATAAATTACAGACAGCAGTGACAGATAGATTTCAGAGCTAGAGCAACATGTTGAATATATCATTGTCTATGGTTACAGGATTAGGATGAAATTCTTTTGAGTTGCTTGATTTCATTGCAGACGTAAGCCTGGAGCTTAGAGCAAATCAGAAACGGCAAAATCAAGATATTTAGGATCAAAATGTCTTAGAAAACTCTCCTCAGTTTTAAAGCGACTTTATCATGTTGAGTAGTTTTGTATTCAAAAAGAAATGCAGTTTAAATCCTTTATTGATATTTGTAGCATCTCGGAAAAACGGCTATAAATAATGGAAAATGGTACACTGAATGGAAATAATTACAGACAGTCCTCATCTTTCAGATGGGCCATGTCCTAGAAGTCTCCTTTTAAAGATTGGTTGGTGGACTTTTGGTTAAATATGGCAGATTGAAAACATTCCTGAAACTGTTGAAATGATAGCAAAGGAATTAAAAAAGGCATAAACCTACAAGGGTTTGGATATCAGAATACATTCACAAAAACAATATTTTAGTTGGTGGTTAGGTTTCTAAGTCAACTCACAAGAGCTTTTTTAGCCCATGTGTACCTACTGAAGCATAGCACACTGACATTGTAGTGATGTACATGTGAAGTATTACACTAGCATGTATAGCCTGATTTCTATAGGAAAATTAATTCAAGAGTAGAACTTGTGTAGATTCTGAGAGTGTAACTTCCTTAGCAGCAGGGCAGAGGACTTCTGGTGCCCATTTATCTTAACAGATCATTGGTAAAGCTAGGAATCTATAAATTGTATTTTAGCATATGGTAATAGTAGAGTAAACTTTGAAGCCCTCATAGCCAGTTGCTAAGTCTTAGTTTTGTAGAGGTTCTGAAACTCTCTCCACCTTTCCATTCCCACATCCATTCCAATTCAGGGTTTTGTTACCTGTTACTGGTATTTCATAACTCCATATAATAAAAAGAGATTAAGCTTCCAATACTAGCCAAAACAGAGTAAGTTCACTACAACGTATCTCTCCCACTGGTTACAACAAAAAGTTCTGGACAGAATACAGAAAAAAAACTAGTTGAGTATTCTGAAAGTAAGCAGTAACAGGCATATTGGGGAAGGAAGTAAGAACTGGAAGAACCAGAATGGCAATGAGTTTCAGGATTTTATTCTTTAATTCTTTATCTGTTGGCTTTAACTCAAGAGTGGGCCAAGTCACAGAACTGTGGATGAGAACAACAAAAAACAGAGAAACCCCTTTTCTAGTCTGGAGACTAGAGGTGGACTCCTGTGAGCTACCAAGTATGAAGAGAATCACTCCCTTCCCCCCTTTTTTTCTCTCCTAGCCCTACCCTGAAGCCAGTTGCAGTGCAAAGCTGAACTGCCACTATGGCAGTGATGGTGGTGGCACAGGCACCTAAAGATCCTGAGAAACAGCCCGTCAGTGCCATAGGAAAGGGAAACAAGGGCCCCTGTGGTCTGAAGACTGTGAAGAAAAGCCTATTATATATTTTATCTTTCTTTTGCTTCATCCTGTGGGC